AAAATATATTTATTACACCCTAACCTCTACCTTTTCTTTTTTTTTTTTCTTCAAGTTTCACGTTTATCAGCGTGTTTCTGGATGATAATGGAGGGATCATAACAAAAGTTCAAGGTGAAGCAAGCAATTTCAGTACTTCATTGCTCCCGCCCCAGCAATGAATTTACTTTCGTCTTTAGCTTTTACTAGAGTTGGCTGGGCCTGGGCTGCGTGTAAAACTCTCAGATAATCAGATTCTGGGGTTAAGAGAATTAAAGCAGACCTTTTTCCTAGGGTTCAGCCGCTGCAAATTAACCCGCATTCAATGCCACGCGGTTTTGTAAGGCAGAAGAGCTGTTGCTCGGCTGACTTTGGCTTCCAGTTCGAGTTAATGCTCTTGCTGTCACCTTTTGACCCTTTCGCTTCTGCTTCTTTTGGTCAGCCTTTGGACTCCTTTTCTTTTCTATATAGGCAGAAACAGGACAACCTCTTCCCTTAGACTCTTGTCTTCGTCTCATTGCTCTTCCAAACAAGAAAAAGTGCCCAGTGGCAGAACTTTGCTGAAAGGGTTTCTAGGGAAGAATTAGAAGAAGAAGCTTCAGAAAACATGGGTAGACCACCTTGTTGTGATAAAGTTGGGATAAAGAAAGGGCCATGGACTCCTGAGGAAGATATCCTTTTAGTGTCTTACATTCAAGAACATGGTCCTGGGAATTGGAGGGCAGTTCCTACCAATACAGGTTAGGTTTTGTCCTTTGATTGATGGGTTAATTTCCATTTTTGAACTACTCTTCTTTTTGTTGGTGGGTCTGTTGTTGCTTTTGTTTTGGTTGATCATTAGGGAAATGCAATTAGGAGTTGAATATTTTGGTCACCTGGGTAATTCTAAAAAAAGTCTTCCAGGTTTTTAATGATTTGACTGTGCTGAATTTGGCTCTCCTCTCTTTGGTGTATTTTCAGGGTTGCTCAGATGCAGCAAGAGCTGCAGGCTTAGATGGACTAATTACTTGAGGCCAGGGATCAAACGTGGTAACTTTACTGAACATGAGGAGAAGATGATTATCCACCTTCAAGCTCTCTTAGGCAATAGGTATTTACCATCTTTTTCTCTCTATGAAGATCTATTACTGTTTGATCTCAGAGGATGAATCTTGTATTGGTTCAAATTTAATGTGTTGCAGATGGGCTGCTATAGCATCATACCTTCCTCAGAGAACAGATAATGACATTAAGAACTATTGGAACACCCACTTGAAGAAGAAGCTCAACAAGCTTCAAACAGGCTCCTCCGGTGGCCTCTATAGAGATGATTTCTCTGCATCATCATCAACTTCACAGCAAGCAATTTCTAGAGGCCAGTGGGAGAGAAAGCTGCAGACGGATATCCACATGGCTAAGCAAGCTCTCTCTGAAGCCTTGTCCCCGGAAAAACCAAGTTGTTTGTCTGAGCTGAAATCGTCTAAGGGGTACCTTTCCCATGCAAAACCAGGGCAAGCGTCTAGTTACATATCAAGCACTGAGAACATATCAAAAATGCTGAAGGGGTGGATGAGAAATTCTCTAAAACCAGCAGCTCCTGCAGAATCTGCTGCCACTCAGAACTCACCCAACAACATGGCCGGTGCTGATTCTGCCTCAAGTGAAGGGGCCCCAGGCAAAGCAAACAGAATCAGCAATGAATTAACAGAGACTTTTGAGTCATTTTTTGAATCTTTTGATTCTTCCAATTCTGATTTCTCCCAACCTATGTCACCTGAGGCTAGCTTTTTCCAAGATGAAGATAAGAAGCCAAGTCCTATTTCACAAGGGCAGCTCTCAATGCTTGAGAAATGGCTTTTTGATGATGGTAGCAGTCAAGGGAAGGATTACCTTAGTGACATCACATTAGATGAGAATGCCAATTTCCTCTGAAGGGTGTCTTGTTAATCTTGAGACTTTGTTGACTCTTGATCTCAGCTTAATATTTTTGCTATAGGTCTTGTTTAATTACACTAGGCCTTAACAGGAAGAGATTCCACCCCTTCAGTGGTAGAACAGAACAGAAGTGTATATTTTTTACAGTATTCTGGCAGAAAGCAGGGGTCTTTGATTGAGAATAAATTTCTGTCCTGATCTACTTAGAAAAGATTTACTTATTTTGTAGAACCTTTGAAACAATTAAATGAAATTTTTATTTGCAATCACTTCCATATTTTATTTCTGCAAAACGCAAAATTTAGAAGAAGAAAAGTATATGCAGATTTTTACTTTCCTCGTTTTTTTCTTTTTCTTTTTTTTTTTTTCTTTTACACTGAACTACTTGAAAGGTTTAGCTACTTACTAACCCAATATTCTAGATCTTTAAATCTTTAATTTTAAAATAAAATTTTATAAATAGTAAATATCAAGTCTATTAAGCTCTTCTATGTGAAAAGCAAATTTTCACTCATGGCTTGCTTTACAGCATTAGATTATTGGCATTAATATGTAATAATAAAGTTCTCGTATATGCGTATTCCTAGATGAATCTGTCGACCTTTTTGGTGGAGAAAAAGGAAAGGTGAAATTAAAAGTAAAAATTTATGAGCCACTCAGCAGTAAAGAAATCACACAACCTTCTATACATGGGATTTATTGGAGGTGTTGAAGAATTAAAGTTTGACTTTTCTTTCTTGTGAGCTCGACCATGCCATGAATAAAAGCAAAGTCAACTACCATGCAGCTCTGCTTAATAAATTGAAAATTAATTGTGGGGGTATAGCATTAGTTGTGGAGGTTAAGAACTTATCTGTAAAGCTAAAAAACTTTTGGTGCCTTTTGCATTACCTTTTCAATAATAATCAAAGCAATATCAATTTTTTAATGCTTTGTGAGTAAATATCATTATTTGTACAGCTAATTAAGGTCATGGAAAATTCTATTCCCCGGAGTTTTTACCAGTATCCATCCAACTTATTGTTTTTCCAAAATTTTTATCCAAATTTCTGGCATTTTAACTTCTGCAGTGTGACAGTTTAATTCTTGTGTTGGATGATTCCAACATGGTCAAAACAAATAGACGAAAATGTAAGGGATCCTTAATGGTCACTTGATTCTGGATCTATTTTTTCTCAGATACATCATGGCTTTGGAAATCTGCTGGGTTGGTCTTAAATGCACATGGGAAGACTTTTGACACATCTTTTTGTTAATTTTTGTTCACAGGTTGGGTTGGTTTTAATGATATCCTGTCCATTTACAGCTACAAAAAGAGATAATATTCCACCCTGTAAAAGGCCATGAGAAACCCCATGAACTCCATTACATACCCTTCTCCTTTTTCAGTCGCCATATGATATTACTTGGGTCAGTTTCACATATTTAACTGAATTTATCTTTTTAATCTAATTAAAAATGTATTTATTTAATATGTGAGGAAGACACATGTTAAAAGTGTATTAAACATATTTTT